TCTAATTTAAATGATGAATTATATGAATTAACATATGCCCTTCAAACCAATTAATGCATCTCTAAGCACAAGAAAACAAGTAATTACTTCTTTTTTGGTGGACTAGCAATTAGAGGAAATGCCCAAGTCAATTTTCGCGCACCTCGATTAGTCTATCTACCGAGACGATCTTTGGGATGCCCTCTCTCACATTGGCCATTGCATTTCTTTTTTCTTTTTGGTAAGAAAATAAGCGGTGCCTGAAATTATATCATTAATCTCCTAATAAGACATGATACAATCTGATCCCCTAACAACAAAGGAATGAAACCTATTGGTGGCCATTGCATTTCTGAAATAAACAAGGAAACCACCTCAATTGTATCCCTAGTTATCATCTGTACTAGAATACAATTTTAATAATTTTCCATATTTATGACAAACATCATATTTTCTCTTCAAATCCCAAATGCTCTAAATAAGCATCCCTTTCTTTTCTTTATGTGGGTTTCTTTTATTTGCCTTTCCTTCTCCATTATCTACTTTTTTTTTCCTCTTTTTCTTTAGTTTAAATTCAGGCCAGTTCAATAGAATATTCCGATGCCAAGGAATCCACTCAGCACTTCTCATCACCCTCCAACTTGGAGACAAGGACCAAGACTTACGCCTCCAGCTCATCTTAACTTGGGCAATCAATCCCTTCCTTGATTCTTAATTTAATCAAAACTTGCAATCATTTAGTGAAATTAAGAAAAAAAAACATTGAAGGAGTGGACCTTGATGTACTCACTCCTCAGTCCCCACTCAGTCCTCAATGATTTCCCACTAAAAAAAAGGAAGGAAAATAAAGAGAAAGAGGGAACAAATCTTGGAGACTTAAAAGCAAAAAAAGTGGGGTCAAAGAACCTTTTTTTTTCCCTACATGAACCAAATTGCAAGGAAGCAATAATGCTCCTTTGTCTCCTCTCTCCAATCTCATTGCATCTTTTATAAAAAATGTGCTCCCTTGGGAAGGGGTAGTGGAAACATCCTCCTAGAAAGAGAACATCTCAACTTATCAAAGGAAAAAGGTTAAAGTTTATATTCTTTGTTACCTTTTACTTTTTAGAAATGTTTGTGTCACTCTAGGTTTCAAACCTTTATCACTAGATCAAGCATCCTCTATAGCATTCGGGTTTGCTAAAAAATGCAAGTTCTCACACAGTTTCACACTTTGATCGGGAAATTTGTTCCAAAAATTCTAAAGCTATTGTATGGCGGCCAATTTAATTTAATACATTTCAATTTTGCCAATTTAGTTTTAAGCATTTTGACGATTGCCAACGTAGTTATTCCAGTCAGTTTTTATCGAAATTGATGATGTGGACGCCGACCGTCTTACATGGCATGATAGACGCTGAGGGAGAATTACCAAAAAGTCATAAATTATTGCAATCGTGCCAATTCAATTCTAAATCTTTTTTTTTTTGCTAATTGAGTCCTAAACCTTTTTCATTTGTGCCAATTTAATCATAAAACTTTTGTATTTATCTTACTTGCCGGCCCTTGCTCTGGCCAATCGCCGAGCCTCGGCGACCGGCTGAGGGTAGAAGGAAGGGAAGAAGAAAAAAAAAGAAAGAGAATGAAAGAAAAGAAAAAAAGGACAATATATAAGTAATTTGGAAAAAAAATTATTAAAATTGTCAACGTCAGTACCGATAGGCCAAAATTGGCCGAATGTATTGAATTGGCACAAATGCAAAAAGTTTAGGACTCAATTGGTACAAAAAAAGATTTAAGATTGAATTAACACAATTGCAATATGTTGATAATTATTTTTGCAAATTTTCCCTAGATACTAATGTGGAAAAAAAAAAAGCAAAACGCACCCTTGTTCAGGTGATGCAGGGTGCGAGATCCAAACAATACGCAAGCGGGTAAGGTAAATGGGAAAATTGTTTATTTAGGTGTTCGAATTTTCTTTGTTTTTGGGTGAATTTCATATGTAAAAATTTTAAAATCATGAACTTGTCAATTCAACGATGTCATTGTAGCCAATCACCGTTTGCCATCAAAGTTTATTTTATTGTGGGATGTCGACATAATTTGGTTTGGCCCATCCGGGGGCACAATCTAGTCTTTCAACAACCAATCTTTAGTCACATTACAGATAGTACCTTACCCTAGCTTCTCGTGGCAAGAATTTGGTCAATGACACAAGTTTGATCTCATCATGGGTTGTGAAATTTGCACATTCGTCGACGTTTCTTGGTTTTGACGATTTGACTCAAGGCTTCGCTCGAATACCCCGTGGACGGTCAATCACTCTTTTGGAACGGAATAAAAAACTCTAACAAATTACAATTTAGTGACGGGTGAAATCTAAGTGTACCATTTGCTGAAAAACGAGTGATTCAAGATTTGATTTATAAGTAATGATTTTTTAGTCCATCTTTGATTTGAGGATATTTGTTAGGAAAATCTAATTCAAAAACTTAAATTTATAGATAGAAGATCACGTGAGTATAAAGACCACACGTGGCCCATTGTCAAGCGATATACACCCGCTCTCGCGTGGAATTTGATTGATGGGGCATGATACATATACTCGAAAGGAAAGTCCAACCCAAAAGTGCAAGTTGATAGGTAGAAGGAGACCATATGAATATAAAAAACATAAAAGATCTGTTATCAAACGATGTGGGGCAATATTTCAATAATACTTTGATAGTTTATGAGTTTGGGATTAGGTATATTTATGATATATAGCTTCCCATTTGCATTGGCTTGTCCAGTAATAGTGGCGCATGAAAAGATGTGTGGCCTTATTGAACATTTCGCAATGATTTAGGACGTGTAGTAACATTCTCCATTATTTGATTAGATAAAACGACTACGTTGAATATTCAGAAATAGTTTAAGGGGCACATCTAACGAATTAAAGGTTAAATGATGACAATGAACTTTAGATCAAAATTTAAAATTACTGATGTTATTTTCCCTTTTTATTAACTCTAGACACTCTTTAGGGAAGCAAAAAATAAAATAAAAAGGTGTATGACTTACTAGTCTTCTTTTTCCAAAGCTTCACTCTTTGTTTTTACATTAGTCAAGTTTTGATTGGTAAGGAGGAAGACAAAGTCAATCCTCTCCCATTCTTTTTTCTTCTTTCCCTCCTTTTTCTCCTTCTTGCTTTCTCTATTTCATAACTTTTTTTTTTCATAAGGTCCCCTATATGCATATTCTTTTCCCCTTTTCTCCTTTCCTCCTCCTTATCTCTTTCTCTATTCTCACTCATCCCATTTTCGCCGGAGCCTAAGTCGGTCCAGGGATGGGCCGACAACATGGCTGATCCGGGTTAATCGGCCATGCGATCAAGTTAAAAAAAATTTATGGCGAAATTAGAAATTTTTTAAAATTTACTATCTCTTTTTCTAGTTAAATTTCCCAATCTCTCTCCATGGAGCGACAACACCTGATCATATTTTAGACAAGCATCAAGACTTTAGTTTACATTTGATATTTAAACAATTGTTAGCATCGAAGTATCTATCTTAGCTCTTATACCCACCACCGATCAGACATTTATATTATGTATAAATAAAGAAAAAAATAGTAAATTTCATGTCACAGTCTCACCTAATGGTAGGTATAGGCGGGTCTAAAACTATTGGTTGTTTCTTATTTTTATTTACATGTTCTATAAAAATATGGTTACGGGGATGTATGGGATTTCTTTTGGGGCGTCCATTGATGCATTTGAATAGGGGATGAGTGAGGCAATCAATATGGCCCGCTCACTCAACGGGCCTCAAGCCCAACGGCTAGACCGTCCTCGTGAAAAGAACTCATCAACTGAACTTTATTAAGTACTCTTTCGGATTCTAAAACTTGTTACGAAAGTATAATTGAGTCCTTCAAAAGATACAATCAAGTCGTAAAAATTTTCAAATTGATATAATTAAAAACTTCCGTTAATTCCGTTCGATTTGACTAACGAAAAATTCTGATGTATTTTTCTTATTATTTTTTCTCTTCTACGTGGCGATAAATTAGCTAAAGTATGAACTATAAGATTATCATAGGTTTTTACTCCAAATATTAATTAAATTAATATTATAAAAAAATAAAAAACACAATTGCAACCCCTCACCGGTGGGCGCCACCACCCCACCATCACCGGAGAGGGCCAGTGGGGGTTGCCAAGGCCTTGGCGATGGTTGGAAATAACACCTGCATCAAGAAGATGGATTGCGACTCTCTTGCTTGCAAAGAAGTGCTTGATTGGTCCGATGAAGTGGTCGCAACGGCGCGATCCGAGGCTTTTAGTGGCCAGAGATCGGATCGGGGAACCCAAGTACCATTTCTGGCGGGACATGATTCTCAGGTTTGCTTGTCACTTCGGCCTCCTCATCATCAAACCTTCTCAGGTTCGTTCAATCGCGTCGTTTGAGGCTTTCTAGCCCGAGGGAAAATCTCATTTTGCCATGCTTCCTCTGTTTGGGTTTTTGGGATTGCTTGACTGGAATTAATGTCTTTTTTTTGTCAATCGATGATTATATGGTTTGAGATGATTTCCTTCGAGATGAGAAAAATGGATGAAACATACTAAAGGCGTCGTAACAACGGCTATAAACATCGTCACAAGTTCTAAACCTTTTAGCTTGTTCTGTAACTGAGTTTTACTGGGTCCTCAGTTTCTGACCCGTTGCAAGTGCAACAAGTCGAAAATCAGTAAGTTACGATGGAAATCGCCTTGATTATGATGCATTGCCTCTAAGCTTACGACTGATCGCAAGCGCCACACTTCAAAAACGATAAAGTAGCGACGGAAATGCCCCTTGGCCATGCGCATTTGCTTCCGGCTTATGATCTATTTTGAGCGCTGTACTCTGAAAATCAGTAAGTGACAACCAAAAAAAGGCCTTCTTCGAGATCTATTTGCGCTAAGTTAACGACTTTTTACAATGCACCAATCCATGGTCTTTGGTTCTGGGGACATGTGGAAGTGTCATTTCAAATTTTGACAATCATGACAAGTCGTAAATTCAATTATGCATATTCATAATACTAGAATAAATGTGTCATAACAACAGATTATTTACGTTGTAACAAGTTGTTAACCCTATTAGCTTGTCCATCCGTTCCTGAAGCTCCAGACATTCGTCCTGCACTTTGGCGACGATCGTTGAAGTTCCAGTTTCGCCTAAAAACCAATGTCGCAGGGGTGAGGCCGAGTGTCCCTTTTTTTTTTCCTTCGTCGTGCTCCTTTTCTCATCTTCTGCCAGCAAAAGACTCCACGGCAGCGCTTCCTCCTAGCGTACCTGTACCCGGTAACACTGGTACATACAACGACACCCCTCGGAATTGTCAAATCTGCCTTGGACAGCCCCACAGTATACTGCTCTGTGATGCTCCGTGTTCGTGATTGATGTTGTCGTTTTCTTATTCGTCGCTAAACCTGAACTGGAGTTGGACCGGAATCAGCTCGGCGGAGTTTCAATTTGCACGGTTTGGACCCTGTACCCTTGGCCACAACCACATTTACCAGGTCGTATCTTCCCCAATTAATCTCTAAATGTGATCCCGATTCATTCTAGATTTGCTCTGTTTTGCCGCAAACGAGATTGACCGTTTCTTCGGTCCCGCAGTAGGGTGTTTTCTTGTTCAATCCCATACCTAATATGAACATTTAGCAAAAGCCATAAGCTTGTCTATTTCAAAAATTTCTAATTCACAATAGAGAACTCATGCTTTTGGATTGCCCACCATGAAACTTCATTGATAACCTTTGGGTTACTGAAAATTTCAGCAACGCCGGCACGTTTGTTCGCTGGGATCAGCTCGCCAGCTGGTGTGTATAAATTGCAAATAACCTACAGACGAACAATAATACTTCTTAAACTAATTGAAACGTCCTTTCTTGTTTGATCAACCTGTTCAGATGATCTGATGGATGAACAATTTTTGACAACATAATACTTATTTCGTGGATGATTACCATGCTATTGTTGCTGCCTCAGAAAGGATCCTTGAAAATTGCTCGAGGGTTGTTAAAAAATCAAGAACTTGATGGAATGATGTGAAGGTAAATATAGTAAGAGAGTTTTTGGTTTATGTCATCTTACGATTAGATCACTTCACTATCCTCCCCTGGAGCTTGACCAGTACTTGATCCATACTCAACAGCTCTAGGGATCATCTGATTATTCATGAATCAATATATTAGTAGCATGTAGCATGTAAAAAGAAGAACCCTACATATTTTATTGTTGCTATTCATACCCTTGATGTGCTGTGCAAATCTATACCAGAAACTCCGATCCTGACTCATAGTTAGACTAACGTCAAAATGTGAAATAAGGTTCGCTAATGCAAAAATTGAAAGAAAAAAAGAAAAGGTGTCAGCAGTTGAATGTGCATATAACATATGACATACTTATTCTGATGGCATATCGAAGAAAAATGCGAACTTATAATCTCAGTACAGAATAGTTCTAGTATTTGTCATCTTTTTGTGGATCACACTAAATGGTTTTAGGCATTAAAACATACCAAATGTATTCTACAATCATCGTGTGGGTGTAGGGCGTGGCATCCGAGTTGATAAGACTCTCAAGCCTGTAATAGTATTGTTCTTGGACTTCAAAGCATACACCCTGAACTTAGAAAAGCTCTTGGTGCTTACACTCTTCTTCTGTTTTAGTGAGAGAGAAATCCATGCGTTTGCTGCCATGGGACTGGCCATCAATGAGTTCTTTGTGATCCTTGTTGGCATTATGTCGTTGGTGCCAAAATCTGCGCCATTTCTGCCTAGTTTGAAAAATAAAGTAGTGTGAGTAATAGACATATCTGTTACGAAAATTCAAATCGGCATTAGCATAAATATTACAAACAATACAAAACTGTAAAGAAATGAAATTGCAATAACAAAATCGGAATCGATACAAATGAATACCGAGGCCTGTGTTTTACACAGTTTCCTTAAAACAGATTCGTTCCCTTAAGTACGCGATTGAGGTTTCGTGAACGTCCGTCTCCCAGGATACAATGGTTGACAGCGAAGAAGAGATCACGGCACTTCCAAGCTTTCAGCGAACTTGAACAAACTCGAAAATGAACACTACCGAAAAACAGTGCAAATGCAGAGAAGTTCTGAAACAGAGGAAGAATGATTTCGATAAAAATAGAACGCAGGGGAGAGCATTTTGGGAATACGGACGATTAAATCTGCCGTTATAAAATCAATACGCATGGGAATAACGGTTGATTAAATCTGCCGCACGTTACGAAATTCGTAACAGTTTGAGTTGAAAAAAAAATAAATCAGAAGGCAAAATTGGGCTCGTCGCGAGGCCCACTTTTCGGTACACGGGATGTGTGCTCGCGCCCAAGTTTCAACTTGTCGGGCATCGGATTTGCACCCCCCTGCGCCTGCGCGCGAGGCAGAGAGTTTGTGCTATGATAGTTACCACTTCAAATAAGTGTAACTGTATATAAAGCACTCCATATCCTTCTTTCTTTTCCGATGTGGGAATAGTGTTTTTTCACTTCCCACTTCCAACTCAAGGGTGTTCTTTGAGTATCAATTTCTCATTCATTCACCCATCAATTTATCCCATATTTCCAACAATATCTACGTAAACAAAAAACCTAGGAGCTTAATTTCATGGAAGATGATTCAAACAACAAGCTCTATTTGTATGACTTGGCCTTCTGGTATGCATGAGAGTTTAGTTTTGAAATGATAAAACGAATAGACTGGGTACTTCAAAGAAAGGGTCTCTTTTGCAAGTGCGTACGCCGACAATTTCAAGTAGGAAAACTTACATTTTGAAGCATAAATAGCGAGTCTTATTGATTTCCCTAAGGATGATACCACATTCTCCTTGAAAACTTAACTAAAAATAGTGGCATAACTATACTTCTCCTTTTGGAATCATTTCAAGGTTATTCTCAGGCCTCATTCCCAAAAGTGAGCTCATGAACAAGTAAAAAACTGAGGGCAGTTACATAGTTGAAGTAAGCAGACTGCAGAGTGCAACAGTTTAAGAGATTAATGAAATTCCACCTTACCAAGGATCAATTAGCAAACATGTTATTATGATATTTCATTAGATATAATGGACGATCAACTCATGAATCTTGACAGTGCACCTAATCCTTTCCTCTCGCAATCAAAAGGCAATCACAATGAAGTAGTTTCTTCTTTCACAAACTTGGCATAATTGCAAATTACCCTTCCTAATCACTTTGGCGAAAATATCCATCAGATATCGCCATGGCAGAGCAAGACTACCGAACACCGCAATTATCACTATGAGGACTTGAAGTCACAGAACAAGAAAAATCTGATACAAGAGTGGATACAAGATAAATCGATTCCACATGAGGTCCACAACATAGACTTAAAATTGGTAGTGATTGATTTATTCATGAAAAGAAACGACAACAATGACTACTGCTTCGTTCATTCATTCTGCCTCACACACCACACATTTCTTTTGCAGACATTGTTGTCACAAAGAGATGAAGTCCACGTCAATTGTCAACCAAACAAATTGAACAGGACAACCTTGCAGTGATCAAAATGAAGAAGCCATAGATTAGACTCCCACTCTAACTGTGATAAGACCTCTTTTAATGTCAAATATTTACTCAATTGCTTAAGATGTCGCTAAAAATTGGTAAAGGATTTACCTGAGAACCTTTGCAGAATGGCTGAGAAGCAAATAAAGAATGTCAAATGCTGTCAAATGCTAACTATAAGATCACTTCTCTATCCTCCCCCGGAGCTTGATTGGTACTTGATCCATAGTAATTCCACTTTGGAAGTTCAAACGGGTGCTCAGCAGGTCTAGGGATCGCCTAATTTCAGGAATTAATAGATCAGTAGCATGTAGCGTGTAAAAAGGAAAAACATGACATATTTTATTGTTGCCAATCATACCCTTGAGTTGCTGCGCAGATCTATGTCAGAACCTCCGTTCAAGGGAAGCAAACCAGAAGCCGTTCAACAGAGAAACATTTCATCACTTCATCTATGAGAGTTTTCCAGAATTGTGCAGGCATTTTGCTCCTTGTGAAATCAAATAAGGAGATTGCACACTATATCTACAGAATGAGTCATGAGGCAGATTTAACAATCTCGGAGTTGGATGAAGAAAAGTACGAATTTTCTTCATTTTTCTTGCATGTTCGAGATTAAAGCAATGTCCAAACCTATCTGCGATCTGTCCATGTCCCCCCCTCGAATCATGTAGCGTTGATAGATAACTTTATCAACTCTGTCTGCAGGATATGAGATATCTTGTAACAGTCGTCGCCTGCATCTTTGTGGCACCTCCCCTCCAATTTTGGGCAACCTGCGATTCTTCGATGAGTACATAATAGTTCTAGTATTGTTCATCTTTTTGTGCACCACACTGAAAGGCTTTAGGCATGAAAACATACCAAATGTATTATGCAATTATTGTATCGGTGTAGGGCGTGACGTCCAAGTTGAGAAGACTCTCAAGCATGTAACAGTATTGTTCTCGGACTTCAAAGCATACACCCTGAACTAAGAAAAGCTCTTGGTGTTTCCACTCTTCTTCTGTTTTAGCAAGAGAGAAATCCATATGTTTCCTGTCATGGGACTGGCGGTCAGTGAGTTCTTTGTGATCCTTATCTGGCATTACGTCATCGGTGCAAAAATCTATCCCATTTCTGCCTAGTCTAAAAAATAAGCCAATGTGAGTGACAGACATATCTACTGAAGCAAAAAAAACCTGGGAGCTTAATCTCATGGAAGATAGTTCAAATGGCGAGCTCTATTTGTATGACCTGGCCTTCTGGCATGCACGAGAGTTTAGTTTTGAAAAGATAAAAGAATGGACTGGAATACTTCAAAGAAAGGGTCTCTTTAGCAAGTGCTAACACCTTTACCCTAAGCTTAATCTCATGAAACCGCATTTTGAAGACTAGTTTCAAGTGGGAAAAAATTGCATTTTTGAAGCATGAATAGCGAGGTCAATTGCCATGAACAATTTTACACACACCGGTTTCGATAGAGGTATAAGCTTAGAGATCGGAAGGCATAGTGTTAGCCCACTTGAATTTGATTCTAGCCCAAAAATAGAGGGATAAACTGAGATGACAAAGTACCGCTCGTGAAATACAGAGCATGATGATCCAAACCAAAATGCTATTGAAATAGCAGCCACCGACCACACATCATAATAGTTTTCGAGCTGCGTGTCCAGTTTGAGGAGCCAAATCAGCAAACTCAGCTCATCTTCGCCAGATCAAGCAATGAACCCAATCAAAAGATACAAAAACAAATTCATATGACGCCGAACAGAAGTAGTGAACTACGATCAGGAGCAAGGACAAAGCAAAGAAATTCTCTAGAGGCACCAACAATCCAAAATCAAAAAACTGTAAAAAGCATTAACGATGATGCTATACTCAGTGGCATTGTATTCGAAAATTGTTCCATGTAAAATCTGGGAAACAAGGTGCCCCCCACATATATACCTTCAGTAAGGAAAATTAGGGCTCGATCTGCCACAGTCCAAGTTGCATGTGGGGGATATGAGCGATCTTGTCCCAGTCCTCGCCTCCATCTCTCTTGCACCTCCTCTCCAATTCTGGGCATTCGTCGATGCCTAGTTGAGTAAGGACGCAAGCCTTCGCGTTCCTTCGGGAAATAACGTCAGCAAGGGGCTATCGTTGATTTCGAGCCGTTGAAGTGATTGAAGGGCCTCGATCTGCTCTGGTAATGCCTTCAAATTGGAACAATACCGAATAGAGAGATCCTCGAGATTGCTGAGCTGGAGAAGCCACCGTGGGAGAGATGCTAGTTTTGGAAGTTTTTCGAGTCTCACGGAGCGGAGACTGTGATGGAGTCCTCCATGGGAATCCAAGATGATGAGGTTGCCACTCTCGTCTTTGCATATATCCAGCTCCTCACAAAACCGAATATCGAGATCCTCGAGATTGCTGAGCTGGAGAAGCCACCGTGGGAGAGATGCTAGTTTTGGAAGTTCTTCGAGTCTCACAGAGCGGAGACTGTGATGGAGTCCTCCATGGGAATCCAAGATGATGAGGTTGCCGCTCTCGTCTTTGCATATATCCAGCTCCCGACAATCACAGATACGTAGACGCTCGAGATTGCTGAGCTGGAGAAGCCACCGTGGGAGAGATGCTAGTTTTGGAAGTCCTTTGAGTCTCACGGAGCGGAGACTGTGATGGAGTCCTCCATGGGAATCCAAGATGATGAGGTTGCTGCTCTCGTCTTTGCATATATCCAGCTCCCGACAATGCCGAATATCGAGATCCTCGAGATTGCTGAGCTGGAGAAGCCACCGTGGGAGAGATGCTAGTTTTGGAAGTCCCCAGAGTCTCACGGAGCGGAGACTGTGAAGTTCCAAGATGAGGTTGTTGCCGCCGCTGCTTTCGTCGTAATTGGATAAATGCAGCTCCTCAGAATCCGAAGAATCGAGATCCACCTGGTTGGATTGATGTCGCGTACCCAGTGGGGGTGGTGGTGGTGCTGCTTTTGAGAGGGAAGTTAACCCAGGACAAAGACAGATGGCAAGAGATTCGAGGGAGGCGAGGCCTTTCCAGCACTCCTCCGGCACACATTCTAGAGACTCCATCTCCATGATTACCAGGTGCTTCAACTTATTAAGGCCAACTATCATATTTATTAACGCTGGGTGGGCCCTAATCAGCGATAACGCCTCGAGATGCGGAGTTGGTGGGATAGCTTTTAATTTTTCACAATTGTGGATACCTAATTCCAATAGACTAGGAAATGATATTGTTGAAGTGAATGGATGATCCGATACAATGTATTCCAATTCAGTCAGACTCCAAATCTCCATAGTCTTAAGGTGAAGTAGTTGGCCTAGTGGAGGAAGACTTTTACATCCTCCACATTTGGAGAAGCATACCTCAACTAAATTTGGCAAGGAAGACACAAGATTGTCCATCATCCACCTTGGAAAGCTCTCACCTTTATATTCATTGATAGTCAACTCCTGCAGATTTGAGTGCGGCCTCAGTCCATCTAATAGCACTTCATCTCTATTCCCAATTACTGCATCATCAATATCAAAATCGCCCCATTTAAGTTTCAAAGATTCCAGTGAATGCTTCCCTATCAAGTTCGCGCCTCTGGATTCGCTCTACTGCATCCGTCACGCTTCCCAAATTCTCAATGCAAAAGCTTCCTCGGATGTTATTAAGCTCTTTTAGCTCCCCAAGTTCACAACCATTCTTAGCAAGAGCTTTATCTTTAGGCAAAATGAAGCGCGTTAGCCTACTTAGAGAACTCAACTGACCTAGTCCACGTGGCGCATAACTAAGTTCCTCACAACCATCTATGTATAGATTTCGAAGGCTGACTAACTTTCTTATACCCTTCGGCAATTCTTCAAGGGCACGACAATTGTTGAGATTAAGTGTTTGCAAATTCTGCAGTCTCGTAATGGAGTCCGGAAGTCTTTTTTAGTTTATGAGTGCCAGAGAGGTCGAGATACGTGAGATGCTTCAACTTACAAATGGACCTTGGCACCTTCTCTACATATGTGGTATGCAGATCCAAGACGCGCAACCTCTTGAAACTTTGAATGAGTTGGCGTAAATCTACTTCACTTATTGGTCGTCGCATAAGAGAGAGATATGTTCTCAGGGGACTTGCTTTCAAGTGTGAGATTGGAAGATCACCGACACATAGATGACGTGCTCTTTCATTTATGGATTTTGTGTCATCGAATGCCACCCCACACTCATTCCCTGCAACTACGCAGGCTAGATCATGCATCAAATCATGCATCTTGCAAGTCTCCTTGTATTCTTGAAAGTCTTGGAAGAAGTTGCTCCTAAGTAGATCCATGAAATATCCATGAGCAATGTCTTCTAAATGTTGACTTCTATTCGATGGCCGGATAAATCCTTCAGCCACCCAAAGATTGACCAAAGTCTGCTTCTTTATCTCATAATCTTTGGGAAACAGTGAACAGAACGCGAAACATTGTTTCAAATGTGAAGGAAGATAGTCATAACTTAGCCTCAAAACAGATGTTATTTTGTCTGCCCTTTGAGACACATCTGGGAGCTCATAATCTTTGAAAGTTAACCATTCGAGTTTAGTTTTCTTAAAGGATAGTAAAGTCCCAACAGTTCGAACCACCAATGGAACCCCAGAGCACTTTCTAACTATCTCTTTGGCAATATCTAGCATTTCAGGATCTTGCACCTCCTCTTCTTTTCGATAAGCCATTTGCATTAATAAATCAAGAGATAAGCTGTCAGATAAGCCCCCAAGATGATGAGATTGAGCAGCATCAGTGATCGTCGCAATCGATGGAAGGCGTGTAGTTATAAGGATCTTGCTTCCTCTAGCACCTCCCACCAGTAATCTTTTCAAGCTCAACCAATTTTCTGGTTCTTCATTCCACAAGTCATCTAAAACTAAGAGATATCTCTTTCCATCAATTTCTTTCCTCAGTTCACTTTGCAGCTGTTCCATTGCATCTTCGCTGGGTGCTTTCTTCTTTGCACAAGCTATGATATTTGTGACTATTTTTTTCACGTCAAAGTCATTGGAGACACAGACCCACATTTTCAAGTGAAAGTGTTTACTTACCATCTCATCATTATATATAAATTGAGCAAGTGCCGTTTTTCCAAGCCCACCAATACCAACTATTGGAAGGATGGAGACGTTCTCTTTCATGTTTGAATCCAATAGAAATTTTATAACCGCCGTTTTGTCATCGTCTCTGCCTTTAATATCTCCCTCACTTATGAACGAATGCGTCTCTTCTCTTTTCCTCCACTGTCTCTCTACTCGTGAATCCACGGAGCGATCATCCAAGTGGAATTTCCTATCAGCCTTAATGGCTTCTATTTTCTCCCTCACTGCTCTTACTTTGTTACTCATCTTCAGTTTAAAAGCAAGCTGGTTTGAACTTGAGAAAAATGTTCTTACCTCCTTCATCATCTCATTATGGCCACTCAGTTCTCGTCGCACAGCTTCTATGTTGAATTCTTCAAGCACATCCTGCGCATCATAGAAAGCATCTTTCAATTTGTCAAGCCAAACTTTGATTTGGCGACTCCGGTGGTATTGCTCCTCTGCATCCTCTAGTACAGCATGAAGCGTGGAGACAGTTTCCTTGAGTATCTCGAGTTCATGCTTGACACCCCATAACTTTCCAACCTTTTCTAGTGCTTTAGGAACCAGATAATCAACGATATTTCCAGCAATACCAAGGATGACAGCTTCCGCCATTTTTGTTCTCTCTGTGGATCATAAGATATTAGTCCAGTCGTTCTTGACGCTAGAGACTTCTCACAACATGGATAACAAGTTTCAATTGACGCTCACCTAAGATTGGCAAATCGAGAGATCCTGACAAATCTAATCATTAGCTTCTATGACCGACTTTAGTTGTTGAAGATAGGAATTTAACAATCCACCCATAATGCACGATGAAGCCTAAATCTATAATGCATATGGGACCCACCGAAATCAGGTCCTAGTGGTTTGTCTAAGATTTTTCATGCTTTTAGCGTTTACTCTTCTATTATGCTTGCAAAGGCAAGGAAAATGCTGGCGGAAATAAATCTCTAATTCTATAGTTTATAAAAGCAATAAACCGATGCATGTACGGTGAAAATAACTTAAGAGCATAATTACCAGGAGTACGGGTGATATTGAAGGACCGTATTTGACAGCAGCAAAGCCTGAATGAAATGCAAGCAACAAGATTAGAAGCAATGAAGAAGGGGGTTTCTTGAGTAGCTGCCTGCATTCGTCATCATCGCACATTTAAAGGGAGAAAGAAAAGGGGAACATTCCTTTTTTATGCGGACCCAACAAGGAAACGCGGGAAATGATCCCTTTCTTGCCTTCTCAGTTATCATTAACACGTTGACCCAAAAAAATAAGCCATTGTTAACACGAGAAACGAATTTTTTTGCATTTCTTTTTTGCGGCGACATCTGTATAACAGTACTTTTAAGATTGTCCTAAAGTTATTTCTTTCATATTATATGATGCCCCCAATTCATTTTGTCTTTTGCCACCATCGAAGTATAATATAATTAAAGTTTTCTCCTTTTTCCTTTTCTATATTATAAAAATAGATATATTGATTTTAGTAATTAGATACTCTTTGTAATATTCTTTTTTTACTTACGATTCGATTGAGTATTACTCATATTTTTTTTTAAAATTTCGTTAGTGCATTTCCTGAATTCATGAAATTGGATATTGCCTTTCTTTTTCCTTTGGAATTATGCGCTAGGCTCAACGCCCATTGACAGGCATAGGCTATACCTTACTGTTCATTTTGGTATTAATTTTTCCGCTGAACATTGCGATGTTACAATTGAACAAATAATATGACTATAATTTCGAACGTTATGTTATGTATACATCTCAATTAACAATTTATTTTAGGTGATGTGGCTAGAGCATTCTAGTCATCAAGATTACTTTATCTCTGTTAACTATTGGCGTCTGACCTCGTGAATTTTGAGTGTCATGGTTCTATGTCAATACATGCACTATTTTTTCTCTCCTGTTGCATAACTGCAATGTTGTGTCAGGATTTTATTTTGACTTTAGTTGATTATCCAGTTCTCTCTAATTGAATTTACATTTGCATTGAGATATCTAGATTTAAGATTAGTGAAACTTTTCATTATACTTGTAAACTTTACGTATATTATTTTCTTTTTGTTAATTTTACTTACATTATCAAATTGTATAGTTGATTACACCTTTATGATTCAGTGGTATCTTTAGCATTACCACTGGGGTTTTATTCATGATCTCATTTTTGGAATGAAAAAGGCTATATAGATTATTAGAAACTTCTATTTGTGATAGTTTATTAAAAGACAATTAATTGCATATTTTTGCGCAAATAGTTTGACAACTATATTTCAAAGTTGAGTATTAAATTTCAATCTAATCGATCTTGACCTTGTGGGGTCTTCGGCGGAATAAATTTGTAGGTTTCTGTAGTTGTTTTTTTTTTTTGGTCGAAAGGTTTTCTGTAGTTGAAGTATTGCTTATTTGCGCTTTCCTTTGAGCTCTTTACACATTTTTTTTCCTAAATTGCAAAATGGAGGTTGAAACAATAGTTACGCCTTCTTCACTTTCAGACTCACATCTCATTATTTCGGAGGAAACTTTTGAGCATTTCTTAATGTTTCGGTCCACTTGCGAAGAGAAATGAATCTATGATCTTAATTACTTTATTCTCTGAGTTAGGAGGCAGCTCCCTTTTTGTTTTAGTAAATAATTGCAATAATGTCACGTGACAATATGAATGAGAGTTTTGATTTGAGAGGTGTAGTGTTAGCATCACAATGTAAACAAATCCATTATGCTACCTACGCATAGAACTTTCTATTTTCACATAAATAATCTCTATCCTAATGTGTACTGCATTTGTATAATTATATATACACATATATATCAATAACTAGTTAATCCTAGCTCACTCCTCAGAGTACTCGAATCAAAGAAAACTAATATTTCCTAGTTTTATAAGCTTTGTTACCAACTTTATCATACATTAAATCCATCCCAAAAATATAAAGAATGATCAGTCGTCTTTTCACAAAAAAGGTAAAGAATGAAGCCTTCAAAAAAATAGAAGTGTTCATGCAGGCATCGGATGCGAGCTCAGTGGGTCCGCATGTTTTATTTAGACTTGCGTGGATCATCAAAATGCCTATCTATAACAGGTCAAGTTGGCCATAGAAGTTGATAATTAGGTTTGTCAAGCTTTTGATTTGCTAGTTTCAAGTGAACATCAAGATTAGCTACATTATGACACACATACACCTAATAAAATTAATTAGGTGAGTAGAATCCATTATCACACATTCATAGAATACAAATGTGTAAAAGTGCAACATGAGCTTTTGCTAATTACTAAACGTTTAAAGATAAAACTCATGCAAAGCATAGGCAAGAACACTATTTTTTGCTTGTGAAGTTGACATTTGTTTTAATGGTTAGGAGGCAGGTGACATGACAATGCAAGTTCCTCAAAATAATATTCCTGAATGAACATATAAACAAGCATGAAATGGGACCAAATAAAGAAAGGAAAAACATAGTAAGATTAGTTTAAAATTAGAAGAAGCGCATCTTAGTTTTAATAAAAGAATGAATATCGAAAAGTATATTAAAATAAAACTTATTAACTTGGGTAAAGTAATATCACTTTGATTAAATAAAAAATGAATTTCAAGAGGTATATAATGATAAAAAAATTTAGCGAAACTTAGTAAAATCATACATCTCATCGTATAGAATTATAACAATTTGAGAACTTTTAGATATTGCATTGTACAATGACAATAGGATAACTATTTACCTTAAACTTTTTTCTGTAATATCAAATATCCCAAACTTGCATCCTTGTGACACATTTACTCTTTGTCAAAGTTATGTCAATGAGTACCGTTAAAAATCTACCTACATGGACGTGGAAGGTAAATAGTGTTGACATGGCGCCCATGTGGCTTAAATGAAATAAAAATGACGTTTTGATTGAAAAATCATGTGACGAAATCTTGATGGAAAGTAAATGTCACTTAGGTACATGTTTAGAGTTTTTTACGACACAAAAAAAAATTTAAAGTATATGTATCACAGTGAACATAATTTGAAATTTTGTGTAGTTTTTTTACTAATTCAAATTCCGTATCAATGTTTACGCATTGTGAAAATTGCATATGTTTAAAGACAAAATAATATAAAATGTAGACTGAGACAACATTAGAATAAACAAAAATAAAATGCAAAAATCTATTAAGACAGGCCATTAGCTATTTTGGTGATGTTCTTGAAGTCCGCTACAGGTGTCGGACCATATCATTGTCCTTTTTACGTGGTCACCTTTTACTTCTTTTCCTATTTTTCCTCTTTAAGGCGAGCAGAAAGTGCAGGGTAACCTGTTGGCGAAGCAAAGCCACAATTTTTCACGTCCGTTGGCCGACAAATTAGGTCCCAACTTACGAGTTAACACGAGACTAAAGATTTCCCAAAACATTTGGCAAGATACTTGATATCGTTAATAAGGATAACAGGAGTTGCCCCTTTTTAGCACTCCTAATCACAATAGTTGCATGTTCGGCATTTCGATGGATGCCAATTCAATTATATGTCGTTCCATTTCTTTCTAGCCCCCCCTTGCTTTGTTAGGATTTTTGAAAGAAATCGTCCGACTGTAAGTATGTACGTGGCTAGTAATTTTTATGTGGTCAGTAACTTTTTAAAAGAAATTCGACTTCCAATTTATAAATAATTACTGACTTGTTTACATGATTAGTAACGTTGGTAATCTTTCTATGATTATTCTTATCATCGCATATTAAAAAGGAGAAAAAGACAAGTTTGAACAAAACTGACGCTTCCTGCAATGCAATAGTAAATCTTAATATATTAGACTAAAATTTTACATGAGGTTTGTAACTTATTCATGGGACGAGTAAGTTTCTGCCTTAAAAACGTAATAACCGCCGACCCTGTTTAATTGGAAAAATTATAGGTATTGGCAAACAGTAATCAACCGTCCCACGTGGTCTAAAAAGTGAAAATTAAAGTTTCATTTTTCTCAGCATATGCAAATTAAAATTTCTCCCGAAGGCGGCTAAAGAACAAACGATCTCAGCTTTTTTCTGATGATGCCCATTTTCCAAGTTTCCCAGTGCACGTTCACATGCATGCCCCAATTGTTTAGTAGTGACATCGAGTAGTAAGTGCATCGGGATTTGGATCTTGAGAAGATAGAAAATTGTTATAGCTGTATGGGCAACTTTAGCATCTAACTTCACACGGTAAAAAGAAAAATTATGTTCATGAATCTCTGCTTTTACGTGAATGAAACAAGGAAGAAAAAGATTATGAAGTATACATTGTGAATGAAGTAGTATGAAACCTTTTGTGTGCAAAAAAGAAATTATATTTTGGTACTGAAGTACCAATTTGCGTTGGGATAATAAAAGCAAGCTGATGAGGATGCTTTTCAATTTAAATTTTCATGTGTGAAAGGTAAAACAGTTCTTGAAGTTGGCTAATCTTCTCTTTAGAATTCTATTAAGAATAGGAATTCGGGACAGTTATATGTTTTTATTTGCCCGATTTGGAGAAGGCTAAATAGCCTAAACATGTAAATCTTGAGGACCATGTTTACACCCATATAAGTCATATCTCTAAATCCAAATAGAAGACGTTGATAGTTTCCGTAAGCATTCTTTGTTTCATCAGGCTATTCATCTTCAGAAAAGCTCTCTGATTAGTTGCTATGAGAAAGAACGAACCTGGCTAATAGTGGGCTGATCGACAGCTGACCAACAAAGGCGAGGCCACAACCGGCAAAATCAAGAGAGGAGGACAGGAGACGGCGTCGGCAAGACCAAGAGAGAGAAATGAGATGAGACGGCGTCGGCAAGACTCCAGAAAGAGAGAAATCCAGGGCACTGCTAGGGAAAGTCAAGAGACTAGAGAGTCTATGAGAGAGGCTAGCAATGAGAGTGAGAACCAAAAGAAAGTAGCAAGGGTCTTAAATATAAAAGATTTAGCATTGTTTTGAACTGTTCCAAACCAGTTTTCCCTAAGGCTGGTTCCCAGAATGTTTACATTAGAGCTGACCAGTTCTCGTGTGAAATAGTGTAGAATCGGGCGAGTTCGATATAGTTCCGAATTGAATCGACCGGGTTGCTCACCCTTAAAAAAATGTGACATTTGAGTTCTAACAACAAACATTATATGGCTAATCCCTCGATTAGCGAAAGGGAAGGACCATCACGAAGCACAGAGTTCCTTTTGTCTAAATAAATTAGATAGCCCATTATATGAAATGAAAAGCCAATCATACAATACGTTTGGTCAATTGGCATAATTTAATATCACGTCTATTATCAAACATAATATTATTTATAATAGTTGAGATTACATGGAGATTTTACATACTACATATTAAAAGTTAAATGTGAAAGACTTGTAGTAGTCATTATATTTCATAGAGGATGTGGTAGGAGAGGTAAGTCTTCTTTGCAACTCTCCCAGCAAGATGTAATGCTTCTTTTACCTTACCAACAATATGTTTTAGGACATTCACTTCAATTATGGTGGTGTTGCTGTTCATCCACGTATGGTGTCTCTTTGGTGCATTTCTTCGTTTCACACCTCTTGACTCTGTGTGTTGTCATTTTGCTTTACAAAAACAAGAGAGTTACGGGAAGGTTCAACGAAAGATCCTGACCAACCGGTCAACCCGCGGGTGGCGAAGGTGATTCGACAGTTCCCACAAAAACGAAACCAACCGGTTGCTGAAGTTCCAGCCCAAAACCAACCTCGCCTGTGCACTGCTCTCTAAAGTAAGCCCGAATTTTTGTCTGCAAGTGTTGGGCGCTAATTAGTCCGCACAATTTACGTAATATATATAACTTTTTTTTATAATTTTTGTCATGGTGGGAAAGTGAAAAAGTTGTGTGCGCTCCTGCTATACGAATGCCCTCACTTTTCATATCTAAGTAAAAGAAAGAACGACATATACCAACTATTCAAATTAATAGAACAAAAAACCAAAAAAGTTGCACGTAACGAGTATTATACAAAGTCCTCGGCAAAAGTATCTTTAAAGTGGGGCCGAGGCCCGAGATCACAATTTAGGGTGGAGATTTTATTGGCACGTGGCAAATTTAGAGCAGATAACATGTACAAAAATAGATAGGATGAGTTCAGTGGTGTACAAAGTCATACTGCTACACATGACTGAAATGGCCAGAAAGCAACAGAACTCCACAGTGGTCACCTATTAATTATATTGGGACAACATGTACCGACACATATAGGATAGGAACGGTGGACTTGGTTCCCACGACTATACCACTAAAGGCCTAACTAGCGGGGTCCACGCCTATGATGCCCAACTGCCATCTACGACAAAAGTCTGACAGAAGAGGAAGCATAATAATTGCCATAGCCAAAAGGTGACTTAACTCGATCATGGTTAATTATTAACCATCATCTTGTTCTTTTGTTTTTGTTTTTGTTTTTTTTTTTCTGTTCCGCATCTTTGTTCCTTCTCCGCATTTTAGAGAGTGACCACGCGCTTTTGAAACTCTAGAAATTAATAATTAGATTGTGACTTATTAATCGTCCTCATTAATAAATAAGCTTTCTTTTAGTCGATTCCAACACGATGATACCAAAATAGTAAAAGATGAATGGATGGGCTTCAGCAGCTGAGTAACGCATGATCTCGATAATCCATTCTGGGTACTCCAAAATTAATACATATGTAATAAATTTATTCCAAATTAATTTTTTATCACCAAAAATCCCCAAACTAGCACATCTGCGACAATTTTGTCCTCGACTAATTTTTTGATCACCAAAAACCCCCCAAACTGATATATTTATGATAAATTTACACTCCATTAAATTAGATTAATAACATGAAAAATCATAAACTGGTACACCCGTTACAAATAAATGATAAAACCCCAAATAGAAACACCCATTAACTGTCATGTGTCATCCAATTCAAAATTTTGATAGCGAAATTTAATGGAAACTACATTTGAGATTTTTGATTGTCAAAAAATTAATTTGGAGTAAATTTATCACAGGTGTAGGAGTTTAAAATTTTTCGTAATATAAATCCAAAAGAAATGTAAAAACTTGTTCAAGGCAAGGTTAGATTAATATATATAAGATAGATGGATAGATCGATGATCAACACAACCCTTAGATATTTTGTTGAGATCTCTAAGAGCGCGAAGCCTGAAATTCACTACGGGTGATATCATTTTCTTACGATTTGATGTGTCTCTTTTTATCCTTTGTCCTTTTTTTCCTGACTTTTCTCCTTTTTTCCAAAGGCAACCATAAAAAGTGTATCAAGATAACGTGTTTGGTAAAAGCAAGGCAAAACAAAAAACAGCGTAAAAGCATCTTTTAGGTAGGGCTACGATTAGACTTTGGGGGCATGGGGGTGGAGATTCCGTTGGTACGAGACAGAATTTGGATTGGGCAACGCGTACAAAGACAGATGGGACGAGTTGGGCCCCACGGCTATGCACGACTGGACGCCTCCCTAAATAGGGTTGGGTTGTGTGTATGAATGAAGTCGTACTGCCATATGCAACTTGAGGAAAGCATAATAATTGCCACGCGACAGACATGGCCAAAAAAGCAAGTTAACTCGACCATGGTCACCTATCAACTCCATTATTTTCTTTTTTCTTATTTTTTTTTCTTGCGCCACCGTTGTCTCTTTCTTCCTCTTCTGCGTTTTTAGAGAGATGTTGAGAAACCTGCAGCTTTTGAAACTCCAGATATAAAAAATCAAATGTCGATTTATTAATTGTCCCTCGTTAATGGCCCATTGCCCAATTTATTACCTGAAACTTAATACAGGCACCCTGCCACTATCACTTTCCAATGATATGTTTCACAACTATCACTTCGATTATGATGGTTTTGCTGTTCATCCACCTTTGGTATCTCTCTAATGCATTTCCTCTTCTTTTTTTTTTTTCATTTCGGAAACAAGAGTGTTTTAGGAAGGTTATTTGTCAGTTCCCACAAAACCAATCGGTTGCTGAAATTGCATCCCAAACCATACGTCGTCTCTCTCAAAAGATGTGAATTTTCTTTGTCAAGACAAACCGGCAGATGGATATCTTTGCATTGTTCTTCGAAGCCCGACTTTTTATCGGGAGGTGTTCGGCGCTTCTCAGTCACACAGTTTTCATAATATATGTTTTGTCGCGTCCTTTCGTATATGATTTCTTTTATAATTTAATGTATGCTTTTGTTGAATACGTGTCCTTATGTTTCATGCGTCATTATCTCATAGAGCATCTAAGTCAAAGAAAGAATGATTTGTATAAATCAACTATTCAATTTAATAAAATAAAGAGAAAAAAAAAATCAAAAAGGTTACATAATACAAAGAGAGATGGGACGAGTACAGTGGAGCTGAGCCCCACGGATATTCATTGAGGCTTTGTATGAAGACGTACTGGGATCTACATCATGAAGCGTAATAATTGCCATGTGACCGGCTTGACCAAAAAGCAAACTAACTCAATCATGGTTAATTATTAATCGTCACTTTGCTCTACTTTTATTTTTTTTATTGGCTCCGCGTCACGTCTGTCTACTTCGAAGACCATGCCCTTTGGAAACTCTAGAAATTAATAATCGGATGTTGACTTATTAATTGTCCCTCGCTAATGGCCACTCACCTCATTCACGGCCTAAAACTTAAAAGATAATATAAGTGTGTGGTCATAATAAATAATAAAAAGTATTTAAATGATAAAAATTAATAATAGCAAAACATCCCACTTCATCATTGCTCCCTGCGAACACAAGAAAGATTAAGGCTCATTCATGTATGTACGGCAAGTTGATGTTCATATCTTGTTCTAGAAATATCACATTAGATTTTATGAAAAATGAATTATAAATAATTACTTATATGGTTTGAAATAATTAGTAAGCGAAAAATATTTTAATTATCGACAACAATATATATCTAAATATTTTCATAGATGTTAAAAACATTTTCGTTCTTTTATTTTTATAAGCGATATAAGCAATCATTTTTTTTTAAATTCTTTTTCTAACATAAAAAACTTCAAATTATACTCACTGTGACACCTTTACTATAAAATTTTTTTTTAGACATTAAGACCTTGTAGCCATGTATGTGATACACATACTTTTCATCAAGATTTCGTCATGTGATTTTTCAATTAAGACGATATCATTTTTATTTCACTCAAATCACGTTGATGCCATGTTAATACCATTTGTCTTTCGTCGTCTATGTAGGTCGATTTTTTAACGGTTCTCATTGAAAGAACTTTAATGGAGAGTAAATATATCGTACATATACAAATTTGAGATTGTTGGTGTCACAAAAAATGTTTAGGATAAATATATCACAATCCTCATAATTGGATATTTTTAATGGCTTTTCCCTAGATCAAACGAGATGATTGAGCTTTATTCTACTTTATCGTTAGTAAAATGTCTTATTAATTTAAGAAGAGTGAAAGAACGGAGTTTTGTGATAACGGGACTCAGCCATTTAACTACACTCTACCTAACTTTCCTATCATTGATATATGTGTGTGTACATAAATTCATAGTTTTGGTTTCACAAATGATACATAATAGCTGAATTTTCTTGGCTCTCATTTGTTTGTGTTTCTTAAAACTCAAAAACAGTGTTTACTTGTCTGTTAAAATTCAAAATATTATTCAAATACAGAATATGTACATAATTTGGTTTTACAAATAACACACGATAAAATAAAACGAAAGAAGGTAATCCTGATAATCAAAGTTAATGAAGTTTTCTTAGGACTTGTTTGCTTTTTAAATTGGAAAAACTAAATTTTAAAATGTTATTTAAACATTAAAAGATTTTGAAAAAAATGCACAAATCCCATATCAAGATCTAACGGTTGTGAAAATTTGACAGGTTTCAAGCCAAAAAATAAAAGTGTAAAAAACTAGTTCAAGAATATATTAG